GACAGAGATAGGGCGGGGGGGCACTAATACATTTCACCACTAATTCATACCACTGAAAAAAACTAAATAAGTATATACTGTATAAATAAGATTAGAAATATGAGAGTAATGCGGTATGCAATGATACCTTGTTATTGTACTAACATACTAACCCCTCATCTATCTACTACATATTTAAGCCTGTACAGGCTCCCAGGTGGGCTAGATGGGCTGCAGTCTCTATGCAGGCTGTGTGCGGGCCCCCCATCATCAGACTGCTAAAACACCTACCTTACCACTCAAGCTACTCTGCTCCACTCCCTGATTGCTCTTTGGTAAAGGCCGCAACAGACCAAGCTCCGCCTTCTGCATGTACAGGAAGGTACCAAGTTATACTGCCACCCCCCGGCAGTCTCTGCACCAGAGGAGCTTACATACGAACAGTCTCACACTACTATTATTATTATACATTAATATAGCTCTGACATATACTACAGAGATGTATAGAGAACCCTGAGCCAGCCACATCAATCTCTGTACAGAGGAGCTTACGCTTTAATGTAGGATGACACCAGCTGTACACTACAAATTTCAGCAATATGTTATACAGCAATGCAGAACTGTATATGAATTAGACCCAGTACTTTGCAACGTACTGGCCTCTGGACTTAGGAACGACAGGACTCTAGGCTTACATACGCACTGGGCTCAGGACCCACCTGAGACCCCGCAGAGCTCACCTCATACCCCACACATACCTGAGATGCCACACAGTCCACCTGAGAGTGACCATAGATCCTGCACAGCCCATCTGAGACTCCCTATGGTGGGCTCTGCAGGGTCTCAGGTGGGCTGGTCAGGGTCCCTGTACCTCCGTCCCAGCTCCTCTTCCCAGCTCCGTCCCAGCTCCTCTTCTCTGCTGCTAGGTTCTGGCCTCCTCCGCCGCTGGAGCGGCGCTGCAGGGAACCGGCCCTTAGAGTCCTCTATAGCTGATGCCATTCTCAACTGCTGCAATGCTGAATGGCACCAGCTATAGAGGGCTACAACTTCCAGCAATACTTTATACATAAATGCAGAACAATTCCATCAGTTACAGAGGGATACAAACAATGTGACTTCAGGCACATACCTTGTTGGACTGTCCTCATGGTGGGAACACATGCAGCAGGGAGAGGTGGTGGGCTCTGAAATCAAGTGGCTGCTGCTCGTTCCTCCTGGCCGAGGCCCCAGCGCTGCCCCATAGTGTGCCTGCAGGCTGCTATACTTTTGCTTCTGACCAGCTCTCAGCACTTCAAATTCCGCTGCTATTTTCCCCTGGAGTCGGCTATGGGGCGGATCTCAGTGATGTCGTGGAACCTGATTGGAACCTGTGCACCTGCTGCTTGTTCGGTGCGGCCAGTGGTTCACTCAGTCAGAGCGGCGGAGGAAGAGACTATTTTTTCGTTGGAGGGGGAACTGGGCAATTTCCGCCCCATTCAGAAAATAGTCTCTCCCTTCGCCGCTCTGACTGAGAGAGCCACCGGCCGCACTGAACAAGCTGCCGGTGCACACTCGGATCCGCCACTGTTAGCGGGGGGGCAAGGACTAACCTAGAGGGGGCAATTGCCCCCCTCTAGCGACGCCACTGCACGGCTGTGATGTCATCTCCAGCCTAAAAGCAGCCCACTCAGTGCCAGTCCCAGCACAGCTGATAATGTAACTGCAAGGGGAGGCAAAGGCAAAAGAGGGAAAGTGGGTGATTCATGGGCCACATGTAAAGGGGCCCCTTATGTCTGAATGTGGCCCACAGACCATACAGTATGTTGGACAGTGCTGTATGAACAGTCATGTCATTATTACATTTTAATATCTATATTTTCCGTTTTTGTTTTTAAATAAATGTTAAACAGGGACAAAAGCATCCAAAAATTAGTTTTTAATCAAACTCAAAGTAAAAGGATTAATTGGTATATCTGCTTGGTACATGTGATCAGGCATATTTCCAGGGACACATTTCAACCACTTGTTACTATCTGTAAAAATCATGATGAGTTTCTAAGTGATGGATAAATAATCAGTAGTTCATTTAGACATGTTTATTAGTGCATTTCAGATGCATTTGAGAGTTTTTGTTTTGCATTTACCAGGCATTATATAATAATAAAAGCAATGTTCAAACTGATTCTCATTGTTCTAGAATGTTTGTGTTCTCTGGCCTTCAAAGCATATCAAAACCCATAAACAAATAATTCATACATTGCAGCATATCAGTTTTTAGATCGGGCGGTTTTCAGGCTTTTTTTCCTGGTATTTTTACCTGTTAATCCTGCGAATAACACCCTACCTGTCCTATTCTGTCTTTATCTCTGGAGGGAACCATGGTTGTCACCCAGCCTGCATTTCAGACATATTTTACTCTCTTCACCTCCATGTGAGTATTCATGAGTTTTCGTCATTTACCTAAGGAAGATAACATTGTCTTCAGCTCAGCTCACAGGAAGTGACACAGAAACTGCTTTCCTGTCAAGATTAGCAAGTGTTTTCTATACCTGCTCAAAATATTTTTAGCCTGAAAAGAAGAAAATTTGTGCAGCTGCCATATCTAAGAACTTGTAAGCCGCAATATAGGAAAATCTTGTTTTTGGGTTTAGCTATCCTTTAATTAGACATTATTATTATTGTCCATTAACAACCAATCAATGCACCACTTTCCTGTTTATAGTACAAATAACAATTTGAAAGGGATAATAAATATTCTGAAAAGTAAAGTAGGTATTTGATCTGATCTGGATCATAATCCTGTTGAAACAGAACAGCTGAAGCCCCCTAAAGTTTTGGTGACTGCCACGGCCCAAGTTCTGGAAGTGGTGCTGGTTGCAGGGCAGAGCAACAAATTCCTCCATCTACGCTCATCTGTGTGGATGGAAGAATGACCCACTGAGCCAAGCTTCAGTATCCTGCTGGTCGGCCCTGCTGGCTGTCAAAAGATGTGAACAATCTGGATGCAGGCATTGTTCAGGTATTTTGCGAGCCAGCAGGGCCGACTAGCAAGATACTAAAGCTTGGCCCAGGGGGAGATTCCTCCATCCACACAGTTTAGCATAGATGGAGGAATCTATAGGTGTATGGCTAGCTTTAGCCTAACCTCTGTACATGCTTACAGAGGAAGAGTCGAGGAATGTCCTCATCAGGGTTACTTCTCTTTCATAGTCCATTCTGCAGGCTGTGGTGGGCACTGGACCACAATGAATTGCCAAACTGCAGTGTGGTCTGAAAGGAGGTTTAGAACCCAAGTGTTTTGTTTAGGCGGGGCATCTTTATCACAAGACATGTTGAACAGAATAAAGAATAATTTAACAGCTAAACAATTCGCACGCACACACACACATATTTCAAGTAAACTGCTTACCTGTAGTTCAATTTTAAATTAAGATGGTATACAGTGTGAAAGTAGTATTAAACTCTCAAACTGTTTTTCAATAATGAATCCGGATTAAACAAATATATATTGCCCAGCAAAGTATTTCTTTAAATGTTTGCCCAAACACTCATCATGTTTCCACAGAGCTGGCTCCAACTCTCTCAGCTCTGTTTCCCTGAACTTCCTGCCTAGTACAAGATCACAAGGGACAGCTCAGTCTCCAGCACCCGTCCATATACTAGCCTAGAGAAGGGATGAGGGAGGAAGGAGGAGCAGGGTAAAGGCTTGCCTTGATGTGCCTGTGTGCATGTGGAGACACAGCGCTTACTAGCGCACACAAGAGTGGCTCCATAGGACCCTGCAAGGGAAAGGGGCCACCCTAAAACAGGATATCAGGGGAACAGCTGAATCTGTACGTAGCTAAAACTTTTAAACATCAAGAAGAAGCATCCAATGTAAGTGATTTAATCAGCATTTGAAATGGCTTGAACACATTTTGCTCTTCTAAACCTCTGTTTTAATGTTTTAAACTTACTTTATTTTCAGTAAGGGAGACTACGTGTCCAGAATCAAGCAATTTTGAAATAATAATGATGGAAGCTAACAATAGCAAAGATTTACCAGAAGCAATCCTGACCGTTTTTTCTTACTGTACTTTTGTTCCTTGGTCTTTTACTATCCTGCTGGAAAAATACATGGATCAGGAGCAACTTTGGGACTCCCTCTGTAACGAGACAGGTACAACACAAAGTTGATTGTATCTGTTTGTATCACACTGCTGTTAAAACCTTCAAGCAGAACTCTTGGTAAAATTTTTATTAACCCTTACAGTGAGGCTAGCTCCTGTAGTCTACAGGCAGATACAAAAGCCTTATATGAATGATGCCTTAGTTGGCAGACCACTGACAGTGGATTCATTCACAGATGACTAGTAAGTGTCTTTCCTAAACATTCATTCACGTTAAGCTTTAAAATATTTACCCCCAGTGTATTTACATGCAACATCTACTGTAGCGGCCAAGCACTCCAGGATTCATTCATATGAGTGCAAGGTATATTAAGCATCAGCAAATCTCAGTTTGCCTCTGATTCAAAGCAGAATAAGATGTGAATGAGGATAAGATAGATTTAGCTCAGTTGAACTGTCACCTGTAGGGGCTCCTTCATATAGTAGTGGTTGGTGTTTTAAGATAAGGAACATTTCCAACTAGATTCAAGCATGGGCTGGCACATAAAGAAAGCCATCTACCCCTCTGATGAGTATAATTTAGAGGAACACAAATTATAATATTATAAATGTTAAACGCTCAAAACTAAATACAAAAAAAGTGTGCATGCCTAACAAATATA